GGACGCTGACCACGCGGTACGTGCTGTTGAACTGTTCCTCCTTTGGCTTTGTCTCAGCCGTGTGTACCTGTGTGTCATCCACGGACCAGCTGAACTCGATCTCAGGGTCTTCCTTACCCACGTCCACCACAACGCACGTGACCTCAGGTTTTCGGGTGATGGAGAGGACGTCCTTGGCTTTCGGGGGGAAGATGAAGACCGTGGGCCCTCCAAGGAGCTCAGGGCCTGGTGAGGGAAACAAGAAGTGGTTCAGCACCTGGACGGGCCTCCTGTAGGGCACATGTTTCTCTCATCAGGCGGTGCCTGGTGTCTGGTCACTTCCTTGCAATGGAGGGTGTAGCCTGGCTCCCTTACCTGGGCATTTGGGACACTTGGAGCTGGGGTCTTCGCTGTGGTGCGCTGCAGAGAGAGCAGATGGGGGTTACTGTGGGTGGAAATGGCCCTGGGTGGAGTTTAGGTCAGGGACAGGTTGTGGAAGGTGCGGATCGGCACCAGTTATGTGGGTTAGAGTTGTCCAGCCTGTGCCCACCTTGAACCTGGTGGAAAATCCAGAGGACCCCTAACATAGCCTGGGAGGCCTCCAGGCGAGGAGACCGCTCCTCGTCTGACACCCTGGGCAGAGGTCACCATCCTGGCATGTGGTTCGAGCTGGGAGGTGGGCTGACCTCGGTCCTGTCTGGGAGTGGATGACCTCCCTGTGGCCTGTCCACTTATCCACACGCTTGTCCACCTTGGTGCTGCTGGCCGGGTGGGTTACGTTGCAGATGAAGGTCTTGCCGGCCGAGCTGCTGGCGGGCAGTGTCACCAAGCTGCTGAGGGAGTAGAGCCCCGAGGACATGAGAACAGATGGGAAGGTGTGAACGCCGCTGGACACGGCGCCTGAGTTCCAGGTCACCATCACCGGCTCAGGGATGTAGCCCCAGACCAGGCAGCCGAAGGCCACTGTGGAGCCAGGCGTGTCCCTGCATCTAGCAGTCAGAGGATAGACCGATGGGGCCTTGGTGGAGGCTGCAAGA